GGGGGGCTCCGTGCGGGGTTCCGGCTGCGCCCACGGAGGGCACGCAGGCAGCGGGGGTCCTGCTAACGGCGTTTTTGTGTTGCCGCAGGTGACTGCGGGCCGTTGCCGAAGCTAAAGCACGCGGAGCCCCCGGAGCGGAGCAAGCATCAGGGAAGCTTCGCTGTTGGCTCCAAAGTAACATACAGGTGCCTCGAGGGCTTTGCTAAGCTGCCCAGCATGTCGGATACGGTAGTGTGCCTTGCCACCTCCCAGTGGTCCGACCTCCTCGCATTCTGCGGCCGTAAGTGTTTCGCTGCCCCTGGAACAGCGCTGAGAAGACGGGCTGCTGTCGCCAGGGTTTCTCGCCTCGGTGCGGGTGGCTCATCAGGCTGCTTTCCAGGCAATCTGCCCTTGTCTCTTCTTCCTCGCTCCGTGTAGCCCGCTGGGTCCGCGTGGAGGCACCTGCGTGTTAATAAAAATAAATAAATAGCTTGGGGGAACGCAGGAAACAGAGAGGACGAAGAGCAGAGAAGAAGAGTTTGCAGAGCTGAGGGCTGAATTTGAAGGACTTAAGTAAGTGGGACAGTTTGGCGCTGGAGACTTGCAGAGCTCCGCGGTGAGAACTGACCGCGCTTTCCCCAATCAAACGCTGAATCTGCAGAATGGGCAAGCAGGAGAAACACTGCTCTTGTGAACAATTTCAAGGGAGCAAACTTCAACGTTTTACATGTTTTTATGTTAAGGAGCTGTCTAGGACCATTTTAAAATAATCTAGATTATCAAGTACCTTCTTAAAGAAAAAGATGTTTGTGGTATCAGTAATCTAAGGGAAGCGTGAAGAAGAAAAATATATCTTTGGTTGTATGTGCCAAATTTAATTGCAATTTAAACCTCGATTGTATTGGATAGAGTTATAATGAGTTTCAGGAAGCTGCAAGTGGTGTGAGGAAGCATTCAAAGTTTATTAGAGCAGGAGCATAGACATGTTTTAAATTTATTCTTGCGTTACACAAAAGTAGACCTGTGTCATACACCAGTTTGTGGTTTTTTTGGTGTGTTGCCTGACTAATGCAAAACAATGATTTTTGTTTCCTAACCCTAACTGGTCACATAGAGCAAAGAAAAGACGGCGGAGGGACTCTTCTGAGATTGCTGTGGGCAGGCAGGAGAGGGGCTGGACGCGCCGGGCAATATCTTGGTGTTACAAAATGGGAGAGGTCGACAGGCGAACAGGGCCGGGTAGTCTGCAGGCGATGGGGAGATCGCTCTCCTCTCATCCTGTGTGCCCTTTTTCTTTCCCTTGTTTCTTCACTGCTTCCTTTTCTCTCTCTTTACCTTATTTGTGCCATTTACTGTGTTTTGAGCTGTCCTGCAACCCCCTGTTAATTTTGCTGGAACCGAACTATAAATATCAGATGCTGTCATACCAGCTGACGCTTCTAGTTCATCGGTTACCAGCCCGGGGAGGGAAGGTATTTTGGTGTTGATTTGAAACCCTTTATTCATGTTCCTTTGCTGTGCAAATATGTACTACCACATATATTTACATATAGTAGAGCGCAAAATACTGTTATTTTCATTTTATAGCTGTACAATTTGATTGTCTTTGTTGCTGCTAGGTAGCTGTTCTAGCCCACCACGTCTACGTTTCGCTAAAATATCAGAAGAAGATGAAACCAAGAATTTTTATGATGTTGGGATCGCTGTGAATTATATTTGTCGCCCAGGCTATGAGAACGCCACTGAAAGGGTCCTCACCAGCACTTGTCTTGAAAACTTAACATGGTCAGAAGTTCCTGAGTTATGTCGAAGTGAGTGTCTTCAGGTTGCTTTTCTTCTCCAATGGCCATCCACAGCTGACTCCTTAGGACTGTGTTTTGGGGTCCACGTTGGATTTGTATTTTAGGATTGCTTTTTCTAATGATGTTTAGCATGAAATATCATCTGGTCCAAAGTAATCAGATATCTGGTTTGACATTGCCATAAGCTCAAGCAAAATATTTCTGTGGTTTTTTTCCCCGTCCTTGTAATGTTGCACTAAGGTTGCTCTTACTTTTTTTTTTTTTTTTTAGAGAAATCTTGTGGCATTCCAGCAAATCCGGAACATGGCAAAGTTGTTAAAACAGATAATCTGTTCGGTGCAAGAGCAGGTGTAATTTGTGATGATGGGTGAGTATGAAGCAAACTGCCCATGTTGATTCATAGCACTCAGTTCAGAACCGCTAGCCAGTGCTGGGACCTTAAGAACATAAAAATAGATCTAACTGGGGAATACAGTGCCTCTGAGAGCGGTTGCTGGAAGTCCAGAGGAGCAGGAGGGAAGGACTGCTGAAAAGTGAGGATCGTGATCTCTCCTTTTGAAGCTGTGGTACCGCTGTACTTGCTACACCTTGATCAGTCCTCTAATGGAAAATGCCACTGTAGCGTGTGAATGATTTGCAATTTCCATCATTCGTGAAGGCAACTTCTGCTCTTCAGAGGAATGGAAAATGCTGCATCTATCCGTACAAAAGCTTAATGCAAATATCTGGCTGAAATTTAATTTAATAGGTAGGAGGTTAGTATAACAAAACTCGGTGCGAGACCTTATGGAAGAGGAAGGTGATATTTACTTTAATCAAACTGAATTTAACTCACTCTGGCTCATTGTCTCATAGATTTCTTTCACTCACACCTGCACAGCCGCACGCTCACAAGCGCCAAGAGGAGTGTGCCCAGGTCGCCTGTCCAGGGTCACTTACTTGCATGTGAGACAGGGCGAAGAACGCAGTCTGACAAGTCCTCAGCACGTCCCTGGGGCAACTTCTTCTTGACTGGTGACAAAATACTGATTTTGGATGTGCCTTTTGCACCTGTAGGTACATACTAGCAGCAGGGTCACCTTTCATCACTTGTTTGCTGAGGGGGAACGACGTTGCCTGGAGTAAACTTCCAGCTTGTCAGGGTGAGTGAGGTTGGCATTTGTCTGGAAATACTGAATATTTCAACTCAGAAATACTCATTTTTATGTTGATTTTACCAAATTAAGTCAAGTAAGAAATAGTGGAACAGAGACAGCTGATGTGATGAAAATAGGGATTAGTCAGTAGGATTGCTGGTGCCCTCTGAAGTGGAAAAGTCTGAAATGAATAAGCAACGCCGTGGCCTTGCTGTCCCTGCAGGCTCTCTCCCTGCTACTGACCCGCATGCCTGCAGCAGAGCAGGCAGGGGGACACCTAAAAATACCTGTATGCAGAGAGTGCGGCCAGTCCTCGCGTTTCAGCCTGCTGCTTCTGAGACACAGAGGCCATGCGAGACCATACTTCAGATAGCCCCTGCATTTTCCTCTTTCAAGGCCTGGGGAAGAAGGTTTTGGTATTGTTCAATGAACGCTTTTCTATTCCTTTTTCCCCTCAGCTATTGCTTGTGCTCCACCTCCAGCTGTTCCCAATGGGAAGCACAACGGCAGCAGTACAGAGGAGTTCAGGTACAACTCAGTCGTGACTTACACATGTGACCCTGGTCTCCAGCTTACTGGAAATGAAATTCTTCGTTGTATAACTGTAAATAAGATCCATGGTGTCTGGAGCGGGCCACCTCCTGCATGCAGAAGTGAGTGGTGTTGGAGAATCTTCCTCTTGTTCTAGAGCAGTTTTTCTTGCAATGCAGTTAGTCCAAATTCCCATCTCTCAGAAAGCAGAGGTCTACTCTCTGGGCAATAAATCCCCTGGGGCTTGTTTCCAGGAGGGCAATATCAACTTACAAGAAAGTTTGTTAAAAAGTCTTGGGCTTTGAGGGAAGACAATATGCCAAGTTCTGCTGAAGAACAACCTGAGTGCAGTTGTGCACAGTTTTGTGGTTTTCACTTCAAGAGGGACAGACAATGTTTTATCTAAAAGAGTGTTTGAAATGTGTCATTAGCCGAAAGAAGGTGGGCTAAAGCTCAGGATGGTTTAATATTTATGTCTAGTAACAACTGGGGAGTAAAACCAAAAGGGACTGTAGACTCCTGCCTACCCATAAGACTTTTATTGTCACCAAGAGGTTCCTTTTTGCCTCTTTTACAGCTTTCATGTAAATCAGAGAAAGGTTTGAGTCCTTAGAAAGAAAAAATTAAAATCTGAGATCTTTGGTAAAGGATGCAGTAGTCAGAGTGGTACCTGGATCTTATGAGTTTCTCTGGGATATTTGGCAGTGATCTTGCTGGCAGTCGATAGCTTTGTCCTTTGCAAACATGGGGCTCTTCCTTTGTCAACAGAGAAGTGACAAAATGTATGAGTTCTTTGAGATGACATTCTTGGGCACGTCTTGAGGAACAGACACAAATCCTCCTTGGCCAGCAGCATGCACTCTTGGTGCATTTCCAGATCCTCAGACCACCATTAATTACCACATGCCCGCTGCATTTACTCCTCAGTGGAGTATTATAAACATTATATATACATGGTGAATTATTTATTATATATATTTTAACTGCTCTTCCTTTTAATTTTTTTCTCTATAGTTGACACTATGGCAGTGACAAGCCCAGCTACACCCTCAGAGGATGAAAGAGCAGAGAATCGTCAGGTCTTAGGTGAGAGTTCAGGAAACGCTTTCCGCCTCGAGGTCATTGCGACTGTTCTAATTTCACCCTGTTGGGCACCTGTGACTCCATGTGGTTTTCTTGCTCTCATTGTGCCTTCCTCATTTCTGTTGGTGGGTCCATCTTCCAGTTTATAAGGGATTTTTACAGGCCTACTTACTGGCCTAATCCCCTTTTCTCTCTGCTCCCTTAGCTGGTGTGGAATAGGATAGCCTTCTTGATTCTTGAATCCCCCTCTACGCAATCCAGCATCTCAGCCGAAACCATTGATGTTATCTTGGCTGTATTTAGATATTGCTGAGGGTGGAGGTAGCTTGGATCTGTTGACCTCAGCTCTATCCGTGGAGAAAGGTGGGGTGAGGGACTCAAGAAGAGCATAATGAGATGTTAATAATTGATGACAGGTTGTTTAATAATGTTTTGTATTCTCAGGAGCATTATGGTTATCTGGGTTTGAATAATATTGTTCTATGGGCATAGATTAAGGAGCATTCTTTATTCTTGATTGGTTTTCTTTATTGGTTTATTTATTCTTTATTGGTTATTCTATATTACTTATTAGCACTGAACTGGCTCCATTATTTTAATCTCAATTTCTTTATTTTCTTCTCTAGCAATTATACTCATCCCTAGTTGCATTGGTAAGTTAATTAAATTTGAGAATATACTTTCCTAACCCAAAGCTGTTATTGTAGTTTAATATCTGGAGTCAGTATTGTGTTTTCGTCTTTTTAAAAGTCTTAATTTTAAACTCCTATCTCTGGTTAGGATTTGTGTGTTTCTCTGTTGGGTAATGAAAGAGCCTTGCAAGCAACTGCAGATGTCTTAGCATAAAACGTTATGTCAGTTGAGGAAGAAACGAAACAGGCCACACCAAACATTGTACATCCTGTCACTGATTAAGAAAGTTCCTTTAAAAGGGCGCGGCAAGTTTTGAAAGATAAGAGATTAGTAAAACTTGGAACATCCTTGTTGCAAAAGAGATTAAGTGCTAAAAAGAATGAGTATGTTAAAATACAGAGCAAACAGGTCTCTAAAAGCACTAAAAAAATGCGAATCATACTTTTAAGGACATCAGCATGAAAAACACTGATAATAGTGGTCCCTGTGGTCTTTTGACCACGGATATAAGAGGAGCTTTTGCATTATTCTGACTTGGTGGGGGGAAACCTCTTAGTGGTGCTAGCAGCCCCAGAGCAGTGAATTTTACTGCCAAACTTTTATCAAACTGTTATCTTCCACTTAAATTACGTACCAAATTTGCTTGTTTTTGCTTGTTTGCTTTCCAAGGAGTCTGTATAATTCTAGTTTGGGTCATCATGAGGTGGAAGAAAAAAAAGAAAAAAAGGTAAGTGAGCCTAAGCTCTTCTTTATCATTCTTCAGTCATTTCCAGCTTTTTGCTGATGTCACTCTGACAGTACAAAATGTGATGTTTCCTCTTAAGCTTTGAGCGATAGAAATTTACTTTAGGTGTGTATTTGTATGGTTTAGTATTATCTTTGTGTTAAATCTGTTTTATTCTATAAATTTTCTCCTTTCCTTTCTCTCTCTTCAGTTCTTATGATACAGTTTCCCCAATGAGTGAAATTAAGGGAAGGGATCTGCAGATGAGTCAAACACTAACAGATAACGCAAAGAAGCCTGTGCCATGGAATTTCTTTTTCTGGTAGGTTTGCTTGTTTGGAGAGCTGGGGAGGCTGTGAGGTCATTTAAAACGCTCGTTGCTGCACGTGTGTTGCAGAAGGCAGTGCCGAGGGAGCGCTGAAGCAGGAGGTATGCGGTAACCTCTGCTCCCGAGGGTTTCATTGCGCTAAGCCCGGGGAGCGCAGCCGATGCATTTGTTGGAGATGGCGTTTAGGCATAATCAGAGCTGGGGGGAAGCTGGACCTAAGGAAGGTGCTTTGGTTCCCAAAAGCTCGTGTATACCTGCTGATCTCACAGAAAGGTATTATTTCTAGCTGCAAACCTCGTCACGCCTGAACATGCAGTTTGCAAATCTCAGGTGCTAACGCCTCTGGCTTTCCCATGCACGAGCTGCTGGCAATCGCTTCGCTGGCAGCGCAGCCGCTGCCAGGCC